CGCCTCCGAGACGTTGCATGGAGGAGACCAACACCTTACTCCTCTGTGCATATTGAAGGGGCTGCGTAAGAATTTTGTTTCTCGCATCCTCGTACCCAAGTGTGAGATGGGACACCGGGGAGGGTTTTACTTAGTAAGAGTCTGACAGTCCCTTTCGTCCTCCCTAGGTGAGGGGGCTTCACAAGGACTTTCCACCATGAGAGGTCAAAAAAGATGTTTCAAGTGGTATTATAGATATTTTATTAGCTTTTGGGTCATAGAAAAGTTGTTATAGAACCTGTTATTAAGAATGACAACTCCAGTGATACTTTTGTTCGATCCGGAATAGAACAAGACCGCAATGCATCTAGTAACCATGTATAGGTACGAGGTAGTACCTTAGAGCCAATATCATAATAACGGAACTAAGTTCCTAAGCCGGCCTTTGTGGCGATATCGAGTTCTGTACACGTAACATGCCTTGACCACTTGCGTTATTTACTCGTGTTATGTACTAGTATTGCGTGGAGTTCATGAGTGTCATTACATAACGTATCCTTGCTGATAAGGTGGGTTTGCGGCTTTTATTTGTAGAAGTAAACGTGGATTTGTTTGGAAACAGTGGAATTGTTTTTAGTTATTTCTTCCTCGTTCAACTAGGATTTTATGGATGTTGCTGATTGAGAAATAACTGTATTTAAATGTCTATTTAATAGATTTTGCGGAAACATCGGTTACTTCAGCGGCTTAGATCATAAATGTAATTTGAATCTAGTATTTAGTTTTTTTATTTTAATTTACCGAACTTTCATTGTTATCTATATCTATCTTACTATAGTATGTATTTCTACATTAAAGTAGTGTACCATGTACGTCAAAATCACATCTATTCGTCGACCTTAGCGTCCGCGCATCGTAAATATTATTCTTTATAATTATCGCGTCTAAACTTAGTCCTTCGGCAGTACCACGACAAATACGTGGACAAATTGCTTTACTAAAAACTAGTCTAGCACTAACACTGATTAGCATGGCAAATACTACATGACTAATTACTAAGTCTACATTGTCAAAAAACTAGATTTTTGAGGCACTTATTGCGAAAATATGTCAAACATGGAACATTTCTTTTGTAATGCAAAAGCGTTATTCAAAATGATTGATTTTGACAACGGGTCGCAGGTTTCCGTACGGAGTAATGTTTTGTGTGATTCAGAAATGTATGCGAAAGTTTGGAAATGATGTAGGTACTCTTTTACCAAAAAAAAAACTATCTTTTTATTTAAGAACTATCTAACAAGAACAACTATCAATGAATTATAACTAAGAAAGTCTTGACAAACGGATTATGTTTCTTACAGGTCAATAGACAGGTACATACTTTACTTATTCCAGCAAAAAATCGCATGCATTATGACGCAAATAGTTCGCGATCGTGTATCGATTTGACCATATTATAAACCGCAATAATATTGGTATTTATTACAAAAAACTTTAACAACATAATCACCTTTTGTTTTTGGTTTATTTGTGAACCGTTTTTGGGGATTTACAAGCGTGTAATTATTATATTGATAGTTTTTATAACATTTGAAGTGCTTTGGCTTTTGTGTGTCGGTCTACGACGATGATTCTCCTAAATTGCTGTATTGATCTTAGTATAGCTATTTTGTAAGACGTCTTTTATAAGTTTTTTAAGACTCTGCTGAAGATTAGGTAATTTTTTTCGACTTATTATACCGAAGAACTTTATGCCTCTTATTATTATATATTTTGTTTTTGTTGAACGATAAAATACTCATGTTATTTTTATAACTTGATATTGTATTAAAAAACTAAAATAACAAGTAATTTTATATTCGTTTGAATAAAGTAAATGAAACAAAAAATATTCGTTTGATATTTGATATGCGCAGTTTACTTTATTTTTTTTTTACATAAAAAAGGCAGTGACGTAGCTAACGTAAATCACCTTTTAATATAGCGATGGCAATGGCTGCCATATTTTTTTAGTAACATAGTATTCTGTGTTTATGTTTTTTCTTAATTTATGTGAGTGACGAATAAACAGACATCAATTCAACAGTTTCACTGTGCGAACCGCTAAGGAATGGAATTCCTTGTCGGAATCTGTGTTCCCTAAAAAATACAATTTGGGTGTATTCAAGTCCCTAGTGAACAGGTTGCTCTTTAGTAGGCGGGCTTCATCGTCGGCCACATCATAGCTTACCACCAGGCAAGATGGTAGCTAAATGCCATCGTATCACTACATAGTATAAAACAAAGTCGCTATCCGCCGTCTGTCTGTCTCTATGTATGCTTAGATCTTTAGAATTACGCAACGGAATTTAACGCGGTTTTTTGAATAGATAGAGTGATTCTTAAGGAAGGTTATATATATATGTATAATACATGCATATTGCACCCGTGCGAAGCCGGGGCGGGTCGTTAGTTAAGAATAAAAAACATCTATTGATTTAAATTCTTAGGATTAAGAAAAGTCATGTAGCGATAATTTTAAATAACGGGTTTCCCCAATTATTATTTAACAAAATTGATTTTTATCACGTATGTAGACGATGATTTGATACCTACATGCCAAGTTATGAAGTAAGAATCAAGAGTAAATCACAGTAACAATGATGACAATGTAACAATATTAACATGTCCATATAAGTTACTTGTAAATTGCATTCAGTTACTTTGTCATACCTTAAGTGAAGCGGTTGTAACAGATGAAATATCTAATTGTACATACATATTTTTCTTGGAAATTGTCTTCGATTCATGAGAAATGTAGTAACATCAATGAAAGTCTACAGACAAGAACATAGGTACTAAATATAGAGACAAGGCAAGCAGGTGTTGAAGTAGGTATAATAAAATTAATATGTTATAAGATTTTCTAGTAAAATCATGAATAGGTATAATCGGAACGCGTATTTCAGATCAGGTTGTACCTACCTAAGAGTCGAAAAACCAGTTTTGAGGACATTTAAAATTAAGTAATTATTTATAGGGAAAGAAAAATTATATTTATAGAGTTACTCTTTGTAGGTGTAGGTGGAGATGTTCACTGATCATTTAATTTTTGGCACTCTATAATAGAAGTAAAATCACGCCTCTATACTGAGAATTTTGAAACCGAAAAACCCATTAAGAGTACTTAAACCAACGAGGAACATGAATATGGATATAACTAATAGACATTAAACATAATTATACCGCAGAAATAGAAAATAAACAAGAATATATAATTGAAACCAGATTTAAATAAAGATTACCTTTATTAAAGTAGGTACTTGTTATAAATAAATGATACAGACGGACAAGCAGATGAATAAGTTACGGAGTCTGATCTCATCACGTATTTATCAAAATATAATGTTGTATCAAAACATCCTGCATTTTATGTTAACTTTGTAGACACGTGTTTAAAATCAGACGTAGTATTTGTAATTTATTAGGTACCTTTATGAGCAAATATATGAGTCATATTTGTTGATGTGGTCCTTTCTAGTTCTGTGAAGATTTCGTAAATTTTCTGAGTATTTAGATTTGTCTATACATAAGGCCGTGGACAGGATACCAGACTTTTTGCAGCATGTGGGCCGTAATCACTGCCCTCAAAAGTATCCATAATAGAATCTGTCAGAAAAAGGTGGACTCTTATTTTACACTCGTGCAAGTTTGTGATAAACTACTAAGTAGTGGATGGGTAAATTCTTATGAGTACCTACTGAGCTCTCCATTCTATACCTAATCCTTTTAGTAAACTGAACTTTTAAGTATGTAATCTGAGGAAACAACAGTTCTGTATTTATAGTGTTCTTCATTAGGAAGCAACACCTTTACATAGTGGTTTTACTACCTGAACTTGTCCTATACGGAACCGATTATAATTTGACAACTCCTTCCTCATAATTGTTAGTAGATCAACAATGGAATGTCCAAATAAATCCACATTTACTATGAAGTTGAAAATTGTAAGTGTCAACACGAGAGTCTGACGTCATATCTATGCATGTTGATGCGAAGGCATGAATTATGTTAAGGCCACTGCGTATGGTCATTGATATTAGCAGAGTTATCATCGTCTCATCTTTGCTATACACGTATTGCGAAATTGATTTCACTTATAGTCTTTGCATTGAAAATAGGGGTTAAGAAATACCTAAGTGAGGAGGTTTTATGCTTTTTGTTGATGCAATCGTCAAGTGAAAAAGTCTATTTCTAATAAAAATCAGAGTTTTGCAGTCTGTGCTGTAAAACCGACACGATATTTTCTTCCTTTAAGAATATTTCTAGAATAATTTGTTAACTATTATTCGAACTGCTGATTTACAATGCTTATGCAATGGCTTAGTTTCCAGTTGTGTAATTTCTATATTATAGTAGGTACCATACATCACATTAATTTTACAACAATTTACAATACGTCGTAACACATTTTCTGACAATTCCAATTAGATCATCGTCTTTATTTAAAAAGTAAATAATTAATCACAAATCTAATATACAATTCAAAGTCCGGTTGTGAATGAAATGGCCTTCAAGACGTTGATGACTCATTTTGTAGTAACTTATTAATTTGGGATCATCTTTAATCCATACTTCGTTGTAAAGTTAACCTTCAGATTCTTAAGTATCCTGTTTAACATGATATTACCTTTGTATATTATTTGTAAATTAGAGATGATTAGATATTGAAATTATGTTAACGATTTGTTCATATGTTTTTTAGTATTTGTAATTGATCACTTGTAGGCATAGTACATAGTAGGTAATTACGAAGATCTTGTCTGTTGCTGTTAGCATGGAAGCTTTAGACATTAGGTTCTGTTTGAAAACTTTACATAATTTTGATTCTACAATTGAGTTTGAATAAAATGTTAACTTTAATTTTGCAATAAGAAGGCAACATTTACTTAGTAGGGTTACAATTTTAGTACGTGGCAAAGTAGATACTAATAACTTCATTGAGCTATTTACTAATGAAACACTTGTCTCTTCTATTACAGGTGGTGTTCGCCTCAGGCGCGCCCCAGTCCAACTTCATCTTCAAGAATGACATCACTCCTGAGGAAGCACAGCAGTACCTGAAACAACTGCCGTTCACCTCACCCCAGCTCGCTGGACGCACCGCTGTACTGCCCCTGGTATGTTACCACGAAATAGACAATAAGTTACTTCACTCTAGGACTTTCTCCTGAGTTAAGGCGTGTTCACAAACCTACAAAATTCCCAAACGCAGACTGGAACAACAATTTCAACAGCCAATTCGCTGCTGTGAAATGTGTGTCCAACCACTACGCCGACCATGTAGCCAAAACCTATCTACATTTTTTATTTTTTTTTATTTGATTATATTTGGGAAAAAAAACAATATTACATTATATATAATATCCATCAGTAATGTACATAAAACCAAATTAATGTAATATCCACAACATTTTCCACAGATTACCTTTTGAGACATAAGCTGTGATGAGGTCACATAACAATATTTATTATCTGCATTTGAAGAAACATGCAAAACAATCAGTTATATTAAGATACAAGATCCAAACTCCTCAGCACATCAATGACTTTACCTCTAATACACAGTATAACTTTGTTTCATCCCTTAATTTGTTTATATCGCATTACGTTCTAATTTCCAATTTATAATAACGGTAACGTTGACTTCATTCTGTTGCGTGTTCCCTAGTCATTCATTACTTTTAACAGCAACTGGTCGTCAGTATATTTCATACAGATGTGACATGATCGGTAACTGTTCATCTGATGCGTGTTCAATACTAATTGTTCAGTAAGATTTGGAAATGATAAGTGAATTTCGAGCTACATTGATTATTCTGCGAATTTGTTATTAGTCTGAATTTGGAAGCTATAATTTTTGTCTTTTAATTGCAGGTTCGTTACGATGACCCTAGGTTTCGTTCAGCTGAAGCTGGCCCAACCCTTGGACATTACTGGAAGAATGGAGAGGAGATCAAGAATACAGAAGACTACTTAGAAGAGGTAACGTAACAAAATAATGCTTCTCTTATTCCCCAGTGGTCGAAAAAGTCCATGATGGTACCTACTAATTAATTAATGAATTTGGTAACTGCTCGAGCAGTAAATAATCTAAATGCTTGAGACGTTGTCAGTGGCAGCGTCAAGATATTATTCTGTTTGCAATAGTGGTGATGATCCGTGTATGTTTATCACTGGGTAACTGCTTGAGCAGTCTGCATGTGGCAGGCTTTACTCGATATTTTGGTGTGATTTATGTTAATTTTATTTTTATTTTCTAGGTCTACGACGCAGCCCAGTACCACGGCCAGGACGGTCTAGGTAATTACGCCTACGGATACGAGACCCCTGAATCCTCGAAGGTTGAGAACCGTGAAGGTTCTGGAGTTGTCCAAGGATCCTACGTGTACCAAGTCCCCGGAATGAAGGATCTCGTCAAGGTAAATAAATTGTAATATTATGTGGACAATGGACTACTAGTTGTTGTATAGCTATTTCACTCAGAATCTACTAGATGGCATTTATAACAATGTTATGTCATTACGTATGAACTTACATTATGAACGTTGTGCTTCAATTTATGAACATGATATAATTAATTTAGTTTATAATCAAAGTAAAAAAAAATTGGCTTCATAGCATACATAGCTCAATATCATAACAATTATTATTTCATTTTTAGGTCCGTTACTGGGCTGACAGCCAAGGTTTCCACCAGGAAGACAACCTTCCCAAGGTCGAGCTGAAACCCGCTGAAGAGACCCCAGCTCTTAGGGAAGCCCGTCTTGCTTTCGAAAAGGCATGGAAGGAGGCAGCTGAAGCCAACTCCCACCAACCCACCGTCCAGCCCGCCATCAACGTGAAGTAAGTATTTTTTGAAATTAATTGGACTACGATTATAGATAGACGCGTTTTATTTAGACTATGTTGGTTTACAGTTTGTAGAGAACTAGAATTATAAGCATAGAAACTGAAGAAATTTAAAATATCCAACTAAAATCAAAGATTTGGTTTTGGTCTTGTATTTGACGTAATATATTAGATAACAGATATCTCACCAGTTTACTGACAGTGATCCTTACCTTACCAATTTTTTCTCTGCAGCCAATACGGTAACTACCAGGCTCAAGCCTCCGAACCTGACGCGGTTGTGGTCGCCGCCCCCGAGGCCAACCAAGCTCGTGATGGCAAAGCTCTAGCGTATGCCCAAGCACAAACCTACCAACAGGGCAAACAATACGCACAACAGAAATACGGACAGCAGGAACAGCAAGTCGGCCCTGATGGCAAATACGAAGAACCTGAACCTACTGTGAGTACTTAGTTCAATGTTTTGTTTGAGATCATTTTATCAATATCCCTTTCTAAACTGTGTTCAATGTTCAATTTGTAACAAGCACTACTATCCAGTTAACCAACAACTTTTTAATTTAGGTTTGTTCTAACTTTATCTTCTTAGTAAGTATTTATCTGTATATAGGTACCTACTTTTATCTCTTAACTAACTAGTGCATGTTTTCTTTCCAGGGTCCCCCTCACGGTTTCTTCTACAGCTTCACCTACCCCGTGTCCATCATCGTCCCCAAGAAGGACTTGGAGGCCTCCAACTATCCAGTTGACCACGACACCGTTGGAGTCGGCCACCAATAAATAGCTGAACCTTGACATTTTTGAATAATTCAAGTTATGATGATGTCTAGTTATTAGTTAACCCGTAGAAAGTTTCGACACTATTTATTGTCATCAAATGCTGAATTTTTAATACTAAAAAGTCAAAAGTACCTGCTTCGACTTTATATCACCGTTTTAATTCATCGTTCATTTGAAACTATAAGTAGTCGTAAACTTTCTAGGCGTTCGATAGTTCTTTGGTTTCGCTCATTGATAGTTCAGTAGGTTGGAACCAAAATGGTCATCATGATATTAGTTTTATGAGTCCCTTAGTTAGCCGATAGTCTAATGAGGTAGTTTGTATGACACTAGTAACCTAATTACGAGCGTACTAAATGTTTTGTCATTAGATTATCGACCTGTACTACATACGTTGCCATTTTAGGAGCGAAATAATCGCTTCGCCTTTTATATCCTAAGTAGCAAAATTGAAAGTGGAATTTTGATTTAAATCTATTTGTCTTTTATGTTATATGTTTTTTATTCTTTTTGCTACTTTGGATTGATTGTATCTTCAAAAGTATGATTGGAGTTTGATAGTGTAACCTGTTTAAAGTTATTAACAGAATTAAAAGTTAGTTTTTAGAATCTCACTTCCACCTGGTTAGACTCTTGAACTCAATCATGCTAAAAGTTAAGTTTTGTTACCATACGCCTAGCTGTATTGTAAAATATATGTATTTTATTTAAGGCCTCAGTTAATTGTAGCAATCTGTAATTTTATTATTTTCTATAATAATAAAGCATTTTGCATAAATAGTGTTATTATTTCTAATCAATACCTGGTCTGATTTCAAACTCGGACGAAGCTATAAAGGTCCACAGTTATTGCCAATAATAACTGTGATAGAAAAATAAGTACACTTATTTAAAGTTTTTAAATTATATTATGGACACAACCCTGATTTAACACCATTCGCTATTACTATAGCAGCAGAAACGTTAATCACTGCTATTAATAAATTACAGTCAGTCTTCCACGCTCCCAGAGTACTGCAGTCACTTATTGATTCATATTCGGCAAGAGACCAGGGTAGGGCATCACTATCAATGGAACTTGGGGTTTGTTGGGGAGAGTCTTCATGCCTACAGGAGCCTGTGCTGGTCCTGGTCTGAATATTCCTCCAGTCAGCAGATGAGTGATCCAGGAGATCGTGTCTGGTACATTAATTTCTATTGGCAGGAATGGGATGTATGAGATGATTTGTCCTATGGAGTATCTGCCTTCATTAGGAAGGTAGACTACGGCGTTCTTGGTCTGCATTTCTGGTGCTTTAGGGTCATTAGCGTCAATGACCACAGCATCTTTGTTCTCATCTATGTGTCCTGCACTTTTAAGGTTGGCGTTCAATTGTTCGTTTAAGTTCACGTATCTGTCGTCAGTTTCTACACCGGGTGCTGCGTTAGGTAGGACTATTACTAATGGCTGCTGTTGTGGGAGCCTGAAATTGGAGAATAGTATGTTTAGCTTGTATCTCTGAATAGGTTGTCAAATGTTTTTGGGTTAAATGGTTAGTTTTAATAGTAGCTTCAACTGCACACAAAGTTATTGAATCAGTTTATTAATATTATTTTATTATTTTATTAATATTATTTAATAATATATTAAAATTATATAAATTGTCATTAAGTACTCCGTACTAATTTAAATTTGGTGTTGTTAACTTGACAATATTTGTCTGAATTGAACTCGAGCTTAGCTAGCATTTTGGCAACCACTCAACCAATGATGCAATGTATGAAGAATTTGTAGTCTAGTTCAAAAGAAACCACGTCTAAGTTCCAAAAAACAAAAGTAGGTACACATATGTACCTTTTATGGTTTAATAAAGTAACTTTTATGGTTGTGTACATATACACAACCATAAAAGTAACTTTGCTAATTTTTCTATCGTTTTTGCCGTACCCATGTTTGCATGGTTTAAATTCAGAGTGTTAAGATCTAGTCACTGTACCTTATTCGCACATCCTGCAAAGTAAGTACCTACTTATGTTTTGCAAGAAAAAAATATTTATTTAGCAAATCTAATATTTTAAGGATCCTGGATAGAAAGATATTCTTTAAAAGTATATTGTATATAGTACAGTGAATAGTGTTAGAAGCAACGAGATCCATTAACTTTTTAAAAAGGGGTAGTCACTCATCTCATACACATGGAAGGACAACAAGCACAAAAATGTAAATTCTCATTTTCATCCTGAATTTTACTCAACTCCAGAATCGAAAAAAAAAGGATTCTACACTAGGTACTTCCACGGATGGGGCCCAATAAGGCTGAGGCCGATACGGAGCCGGGGAGAGCGCAAAAGGTTACCGGGGCACCGGCTCGAAGTGCAGAAGTAAGAATAGGGTAGTTTTTGTCAATAAGAATCTGACACTCCCACCCGCGTCACCCAGGCGGGAGACGTCATTCGATGATTTTACCCCCTTAAAAAAACACTAGGTACTTACAGTGAGGGTGACTGCAAATTCGGAGTCATCTGCCTCAAGAATGGCAGTTGAGGATTCATCTCATACTGCATCGGCAGGAACGGCAGCTGCATTGGAGCACTAAACACTGACGCTATGCAGAGGTACACTACCACCAATCTTGGACTCATTCTTGCACTGAACATTTTTGAAGTTCACCAACGTCTTCCAGTAACTGAGGCGAAGAGTTTGCTCTGATGTCTTCTTGCCAAGAGGAAAGAGAGCGAACTGTTTGAGGATGATACACTGATTCGAAATTCAAATTCAAGTTCTGGCGGCAAAACTTTGACAGTTGTTTTTTATTTTTTTTTCCAGTGTCCCAAGCATGCAGGCTCAGGTGCGTCCGTTTGTCTGCCGGTAAGGAAGTGTATGTATGTATGAGCGTTCGGCACTGTGTTATTATTCTAGCTGTGACAGCGACCTACTCTTCCAGCCCTGACCTTACGTCGGGCATTGCTTTCTTTTTTGGGGTTCATTGGTCGGGAGAAATATAAATGGTGTGTCAAAATTATATCAAATAATATTTAATTTTTTCATTAATTTTAAAGAAAACGTGAATACCTACATCCTACCTATCCAATTTTGAACACCACAGATTGCGTATTCCGTACGGAAATCGAACCCGCAACACATTGTGTAGAAGGCAATCAATGGTGCAGTTGTAACTATAGAGTTGGTACAAAATATTGAAATTAGAAAAAAAGATTGTAAATTTTTTTTACAAACTTTTTTCTTTTTCAATCTTCATGCAATTCGAGGACAGGGTTAGACCAGCTGTTGATAATCCTGAGCAATATAATAAGCGACTTACCTGAATGTCTCTTTCCAAAGGTCGATGCGCAATAATTATCACTAGGCGCATTATATCATAATTAACTATTATTTTAAATGTTTTTTGTCATTATGTTAACATTTTAATACATTTGTCCTACTTTACAATGCATAGTTAATGTAATAGTGCTGTGTTTTTATGACAAGGGCACGGACAGAGGACCGTGAAGAAATACAATATATTATAATAAAAAAAAGAAATAGTGCCGCGTAGCCAATGATTATATTATAGCCATGCTCAATGCTCAGCCATCGTTTCTTAATATCTCACTAGTAATGAGAGTATTATCATAAATCATGATAGTATTTAGATAGCAAATAAAACAATCTGAAACAGGCCGTTTCAAAAGGTCAAAAATAAAAAGAGAAAAACAATTTAGAACCGCCCAGAGATCTAAAAAACCGCTTCTCCATAATTTTAGGCGTCAAAATGTTAAAACATGAGGTGTAACACGACAGCTACATATCAAATAGGCTTTACGGTATTGAATGGCAATAAGTATTGTCTAGAAATATCAACTAGGTAGATATATTGCAAATATTGACCTCTTTGCTCCTGTAGCCTGGTCGCCGATAGGCATCAGTTTGCTCAGTTTGGTTTAGATGAGCGGTTGAAGATATGTATTGATTAGGCTGAGATCGTAGTTCTTAACTTTTGTGAAACAAAAGAGAATAGGATACCGAAATAAATAAATGTGTAAGATATACAGTGGTAAGTTTGTTAATTTAATTTATATTGCTATAACTACCTAATTTATTTGTTTTAACTTTTAGAATAGTAGTAGTAATATATTATATTCGTAAGTTGGAATACATTTTGTCCACGATATTTGAAGAAAATAAATATTTTGCAATTAAATGGGAAAGAAAAAAAGTTTTGAAGATTTCAAACACCCTGTCCACAAAAAGAAGACGGCTTATCTTTGCGAATGTCAGACATAACTTAGTAACAAAAAAAAAACAATCTAAAATTATGTGCATTCTTTTTTTAAATTCCTGTTAAATCATTACCATGCTCAAAGTTTAATGGTTTACCATTAATTTTGTACGAAATTAATACTTGGCACATTATGTGCGCATGTCATGTAATCGTTACCGAGCCGTTATGTTATATTACAGTTTTCAGGTCAAAGTGGCGATGATTTTTATTATTTGCATATTTTAATTTTGTATTTTTGTTAATTTGCATTTTGCTTAATACAGTAGTAGATCTTAGTAGATATAAGAAAATCAATGTATTGGGAATGTATGAAATTTGCGTCGTTTATGAATTCTAAGCTCCTATCTTTGACGTTCTAATAGAGGTCATAGGCCACAGGGAGCTGCTGGATGTAGATATCCTCTAACTGGCCGAATCTGAAAGTCATTGAAGGAGACCTATGTTTAGTATTGGACGTCTTGTGGCTGATACGATAATGTTAATCATGACTAATCCCGCACATATAATAAGTAGCAGCGCGACATGCTGCTCATGAATATAAGCCTCTAGCAACTAGTCGAGTTCCTCGTCAAATTATTACGTGAGTAAGCCGAAAACATATTTTTTTTATGGCATAAGCCGGTAACTGAGCAGACGGATCACCTGATGGTAAGCAATCGGCGTCGCCCATGGACACCTGGAACACCAGAGGCGTTACAAGTGCGTCACCAGCATTTTAGGGATTAAGAGTTTAAGGATCGTTGGGGATTCAGGGATTGGGGAGATTGGAGAAGGGGAAGGTAATTAGGCCTCCGGTAACCTCACTCACACGACGAAACACAACGCAAGTGTTGCTTCACGTCGGTTTTCTGTGAGGCCGTGGTATCACTCCGGTCGAGCCGGCCCATTTGTGCCGAAGCATGGCTCTCCCACACTTTATGACACACATAATAATTTATGATTAATCCCCTATACAGAGTGTTCCTGAAGTCGACGATCAAATGGCACCAGGTGATTGATAAGGTTCCAACAGTTATCAGAAAAATATAGAATGCTCTAAGTCTCATAGTTTTTAAATTACAATGACTTATGTATGTGTTATTCACGAAAAAGTACACCCTGTGCCAGGCTTTTGACTCTTGCTGCTGCAAGTGTCTTTTCTTTAGTTTTTCCTCTGTATTTTGGCTTACATTATCCTAAATAGTGCTCCAATGTTATGGAATCATAAGTTTTGCTTAAGCTTTGGAAAAAAATGTCGTTTATTGACGAACCAAGTGTTCTTTATAAATTATTCCCTCACTTTAAGTGACTGTACTGAAAAACAATTGCACTGTTGTAGTAGTGGCAAATTTCACCGAAGTTGGCGCATTTACATAGAAAGGATGGTGGTTGTTGCGGAAATTAAAACTATTTTATGTAAGCAGTTATAGGTAAAGATCTAGACTTAAGCTTATTTATTATTCTGTAGTTTTGTCTCTTTTTTTATTTACTTGTTACATACAATGTAGCTAAGTAATAGAATGTTATTATTTCTCCTGTTGAAGAAGTGCACGAAAACATTCCTACTGAAATATGTAGTACCTATGTACAGATCAGTAACGTGTTCTGTGTACGATCTGTGTGTTACGCATAAATAAATAAAAGAATGAAAAATCAAAATCATACAAATACAAAACTACTTAATACTATTAACTAAAAATTGTAATAATTATCTACTATTCTTGGCTTGTTGTATTTATGATAAAAATTCTAGTTTCAGATACTATTTCTAAAGGATACGTAACGAAGAAACATATGCCCATTCTTTATCAATCCGTCATACACTCGCCGCTATATGTAATCAATAATCCGAGTACCTACGTAAACGTCTTATTAACGTATTTAGAATTAAAATGCGCAAAGCGATTAGGTACGCATTGCTTCTATACTCATTGGGGCATAGACGTTGCAGTTTTACACGTGTATTTTTTAATATAGGATATGTATTAACCAAAAACAATTTGTAACAAACTAGCCAAGTCTCGATGGAGCCTCTCGTTCGTCTCTAAAAAGTAATGAAATCTAGATAAAGTCGGCTGCCAAGCCTAAGGTTCCGTACTGCGATTTCTTTATTATTATAGGTAATGTTATGTGACTTGTTCGTAGAACAGCTACCCATTGAAGATGAAAAATTCAATAAACAGCGGTTCTGATGTCAGTTTGGTCCACAGTCAGTCTTGCTCCCTTTCTGTATATCTTTCAACGGATATTAAGGTGCCTGATTCTTAAAAAAAAACATTTATTTATTTAATATTTAATACAACACAAAGGACAACACATATATGGAACTGAAGTATCTACAAAGGTACAACCTATTCCTATTGCAATTTCTTCCTGTGGACCTGTGTACACAAAGCACCGCTAATTAGTTCGTAACGCTCACATCGACACTACTGTCATTTACACAATGTACATGTGTGGGTAATTTCATATTACTGTGTATAAAAATATTCGTCCACCACGTTCACATTGGTATTTTCATTCTTGTGTCGGTATACGTATTTTTATAATTTAATGCATGGGTAAGGTTAAAACTATTTACAATCATTGATATGACCCGACATTTTCACTGTAATTATCGTAGTGCTCGTGGTCGATTGGTTAATGAGTACGCTTTTATCGTCTTTCAAGGATCAATGATGATGTGGGTTCTATTCCAGCTAAAAGTTTTTTTTTATTTTACCTTGTTGTTTTTCTTATTTATTTTTTTTTTGTTTTTTGTCATATAATATAAATATCAGGCTATAAAAGAAGCAAATCAGTCGGTAAATAAAACAATACTATTTTTTATTAAAATTAATTTATTAATTATACAAATATGTGGTTTTATATTCAATATTTATATCTAATAATTAATTATATACCACATGTTAACTTTAAAGTTCTTCCAATCATTCTAAATTATTCTAAATAATAAATAACTAGAACTAAAATATAAATAAAGGATATTATAGGTATAAATAAATCTAAAGTATTTACTATTAAAATTAACATAAGATTTAGAAAAATAGGATAGGAAAAAAAGAAAAGATTTAATTGTTTCTAATTTCACATTTCAAATATTTGATTAATTAATACTAAAACAACATGTGAATGCTGGAATCGATCCGGTGGCACTTTACTTGACCACTGGAGGCGATAACCATTGCGCCAAGCGCGCCGTAGATGAGAACATCGAAATATTGTATATCATTCAGTAACATAAAAATACAATGAGAATGCACTATATTTATATAAGTATTGTATTGCTCGATCGTTCATTATTTTTGATTTCGATTTATTCAAAGTTTGTTATGAGTATTTTTATCTTTACCCTCGTTTTTATTTAAACTTATTTACTAAAATATTACGTATACCGACACAAAAATGATATGTAATACCAAGATGTGTGTGATAGAACGAATGTTTCTATACATATCTATTAATATGAAATTACCCACACATGTTCACTGTGTAAATGATAGTAATGTCGATGTGTAGCGCCTCGAACTAATTAGCGGTGCTTTGTGTACATA